AAAAAATATGAAAAAAAACCTCCAAGCTGCAAGGTTTCTAAAATTTCCCTGGGGAGTTTCCCGGGCTTTTTCTCAGTCCCTGTGATTCCCAGGGTATTTCCCACAGGGAAGTGGGGTGGCTGCAGGCAGTACCTGTCCATCCTCTCACCTTCCCTCCCCACTGCTGCTGCTCTCAGCAAGAGCAAACACAAGATGCTCTTAAATACCAGATTACACCTTGTCTAAACCAGTCACAAAAACATTTCAGTTTGCTTTTAGTCTGTTTTTAACCCAGAGGTTTCCCACTGGTGATAACTGGAGCTGTGAGAGCCAGTGAGGCGCAGGAGGGGAGGGCTCAGTGCTGGGGGGAGGCTTTGTGGGACAGGACAGCCCCCTCCTCACCTCCCAGCACTGCAGGTCTTCTCAGAAATCCCATTAACCACGTTAAGTTCCCTCTTTTCCCCTGCCCTGAAGGTTTTCAAGGCATGTGCTACCTCCAGCATCCACCCAGTGTGTCCTGAGCCTGGCACTGGAGAGTTGGGCTGTGCTCCAGGCTGGGAATGTCATGGCTTCCCACTGCCAGAAGGCAGGGATGGCTGGGATAGTGGGAAGGAATTCTGGCTGGGAGGGTGGGCAGGCCCTGGCACAGGTTGGGCAGAGAAGCTGTGGCTGCCCCTGGATCCCTGGAGTGTCCAAGGCCAGGCTGGAGCAGCCTGGGCTGGTGGAAGGTGTCCCTGCCCAGGGCAGGGGGTGGGACTGGATGGGCTTTAAGGTCCCTTCCCACCCAAAGCATTCCAGGATTCCATGGTTGTGTGATTCCAGCCTGTTCAGTCGGTGCCAGGAATCTGAAGCTGAGGGAGGGGAGCAGAGCTGGGCAGTGGCAGAGCAATTCTAAGGCAGGTGCTGCCGTGATTTTAGAAATGGCATTTCTGCCCTGGGAAAAGGGAAGCCGTGGGAGCAGGGGCTGCCCGGAGCTGTGGCCGTGTCCGTGGGTGTCCCTATGCCCGCATCCACGGCAGTCCCGGTGCCCGTGCCCGTGTCCCGGTGTCCCAGATGTCACTAGGTGTCACTGCTGTCCCGCGATCCCGGCCCGCTCCGCATCCCTTGGAATGGGCTGGACATGGGACAGGATCCCACAGCTGGGACGGGGATGTGTGGAACATGGAATGACAGGATCCCACAGCTGGGACGGGGATGTGTGGAATGACAGGATCCCACAGCCAGCACAGGGATGGGAGGGACAGGAATGACAGGAGCCCAGAGCCGGGACAGGAGTGGGAGGGACAGGGAATGACAGGATCCCACAGCAGGGACAGGGATGTCCCCTCGGTGTGTCCCAGCACCTCAGCCGGGTGTGGGGTCCCCTTCCCGGGCACAGTGGGGGTGGGCAGGGCGAGTGCTGGTCCTGGCACTGGGTAGGCACCTCCTGGGGAGCTGGATCCTGCTGGAGCCCCTCGGGACAAAGGCAGAGCTTGGCCTGACCTTCCCTCACTCCCCAGAATGGTTTCAATCTCTGTTCTGGAAGCTGGATCCTGCCAACCAAGGGGTCTGAAACACAGATCCCTGTCCCCATCCCTTTCCCACCCCTGCCCCCATCCCATCTCATCTCCCCCATCTCTGTCCTCATCCTCATTCCTTCCCCATCCCATCCCTGTCTCAACCCCATCCCATCCTATTCCTCTCCCCATCCCCAACCATATTCCCATCCCATCCTCATCCCCATCCCCGACCCAACTGACCCACAATCCTAGGGATTTCCCCAGGTGAGTTTGGGGTGCCCATTCCCCACAGCCCTGGTGCCCCCAAACCTGACCCTGTGGGTGCCCAAGGGGTCTCTGCATGGCTAGAGCTGCTCTGGCTCCCCAGCTCCTGCTGTGAGGGACACGGGGGGTGGTGCCATCCCTGGGCAGTTCCACAACAATCCCACCCGCAGCTCCACTGCCCCCCCAATCCTCAAATCTCTATCCCCAGAGCTTTTAGCCCCTTTTTTTCACTGGAAAGATGAAACACAGTTTACTTTTCCTTGCTAATCCAAGCCCATCTTGCAAACCACGAGGATAAAACCAACCAAAGTGGTGACAGGGATGACAAGAGGTTAAATCACATCCTGCCATGAAATTCCAGTGGAGAGGGAGGAAAACCACCCAGGTGGGCCTGCTCAGACCAAGGCTACTCTTGGTACTGTTTCCTTATCCCAGAAAACTGATAAAGATGAAATCTTAGTATTAAAGGGATCATGTTATCCATAATTTCTCTCCTTGGTACATTTTTGGCACTTTTTTGGTACTTTTTTGACACAGCCACTTCCATGAGGCTGCAAAGCCCCCCTAATGCTGCTGCCTGAGGGGTCCATGAGACTCACCTGTCAGAAAACATTCCCAAAGCACTTTCAGTTTAGGAATTGCAAGTGATTAATCCGTGGAAAACTTGCTGGTGATCCACAGAGCAGGAGAGGGCCCATGGATCCAGCTCTCCCTGCTCTCAGCTTCCCAGAGCTGAAAGCACATACAGGACTTCCCAGACATCATAATCAGGGATCCATTTTCCTGACATAATTTAGGGATGGGAATTATTTTCCTGACATAACTGAGGGGTGTGAATCATTTTCCTAGCTCCTGCTGAGGTGCCAAGAGCTGGGAGATGGAGAGGGGTGCGAGGGCAGACCTTGACCCTCCTCCTGCCAGGGAGGCAGAGAGACCACACACTGCAAACAGGAATCATGTGGAGTTCCAACACCTCTTCCAGGTTTTCCTCTGGCTGGAATAACCGCCAGCATTCCAATTGCTGATTAGAATTGATACTTGTCTTCTTTTCCAGCAGGAAAAACAAAGTGTTCCCACCGTGTGCTATGTGATGAACCTGTGACACAGCCAGCACGGTCCCAGGAGCAGCACCGGGGCTGGGCACTCCCTGAGAGCTGCAGAGTGGGGACACGAATTCCCAGCAATTCCCAGGCACTTGGGTGCCTCTGGGAAGCTGTTTTGGTCCCTGGGGTGCTCGGGCGCCTCCCCAGGGCTGGGCAGGGGGCTCAGGGGTGCACAGTCCCGGTGCCCCCGTGGCCAAGTGCAGCCCCGCTGTCACAGCATTGCCACCAGCCCGGTGTCACCACTGCCGGTGTCACCTCACCCGGGCACACGGGGAGGCTCCGAAAAACTCCCCGTGGTTGGACCTTCAATGAAAACAGACCTGGGAGGTCTTTGGGGAGGGGGAGGTTCAACCAGCTGAGCCCACAGATGCCCAGAGGGCTGGGCTGGCTCTTCCCACAGCCCCGGGACTGGCACTGCCCTCCCTCGCTGCAGAAACCTCCTGCAAAACAAGTTTACCCCCCAGACACTCCCAAAATCCACTCTCTGGAAATGCACAGCCCAGAACCTGTCCCTTAAAAACCCTCTTGGGAAATCCTGCTTCCCCAAAATCTGCGAGTCTGTTCCCCTGAAAACACTCCCGAACTCCATTCCCTCAGAGCCACCTCCCAAAGCTCCCTCCCTTAGGAAAAGTGCATCCCTGAAATCCGTTTGCCAAAGCCACTGCACAAAATCCACTGACAAAAGTCCTGCTCCCCCAGATCCCCCTCCCTACACCTCTCCAACCTGCTCCTTTCAAAACCCGCTCCCCAAACCCTCTCCCT